TTGATAATTTTAGAATATAAATTGAAAATAAACAAACAAGCGAACATTTCAGGTGCTTGTGCAACATTCACAATTTAGCTTCTTTTTTTTCCTTTCATCTCCTTCTCATTCAACAAAACTCTATTTTCAAGTATGTCTTTTTTAACGAATTAAGTTACTCTTTTCTTTTTCAATTTAGCTTGCTGAAATTTTTATTTAGATTAGCCATTGCTATTCAGTTAGAATGAAGTGGAAGTTAGAGAATTGATTATTTTAATAAATTCAAATTTAATTATTCAATTTAACCATTACGAATGATTAAAAAGAATAAAAAAGAATGATTTCTGTCTTGGCATTTCGTAAAATTTGTTTATTTTTGCACATTTAAATAATATTGAAATTAATTTTGTCACAACGAATATATAAGAAAAAAACTATGATAAGTTTATTTAGGCTTATCAGTTGAATTATTAACTAGATCATATATCATCGTACAATGATACCATCCATTTATGGACAATTGACAAATACCGGAACGATTGCTGATCCGTTAGTGCAAGCTGCTGCAGCTGCACTAGCAGCTCAGTCAGCTGCTGCAGCTACTGCTAGTGCAGCCGATACTCTTTCCACTACAGGTATTGTTGATTTTACCTGTAGTTTTAATTTTTCATTTCATTCAAAAAAAAAGTCAAAAATATATAACACTATTTTTTTCTACCAAGGAATGTGCAATATGAAACAACAATAATTGCGTCACTAAATTTTTTTTTTTTTTAAAAACATTTCATATATTTTATTTTATCAAGCATTTTATCAGTTATTCTTTTTTTTTTAAAGCATTGAGGTCTTTTTTTTTTTCAGGAATGGTATGATAGAGTAATAATTATGTCATCTTTTTTTTTTTCAGGCATACGTGATACAACATTTACGAAAATTTTTGTCGGTGGATTACCGTATCATACATCAGATAAAACATTACATGAATATTTTGAACAATTTGGTGAAATTGAAGAAGCTGTAGTTATCACCGATCGACAAACTCAAAAAAGTCGTGGATATGGTTTTGTATGTTTTATATGCGAATTTTTATCTCCTTTCTATTGCTAATTTTTTTTTTCGATTAATATTATTCCTATTATATGAAATTTAAATTAGAGCTATTAATGGTTGCATTGATAATTATTAAGATATTTGCCTTTTTTTTTTTGTATTACCTATAAATTATTTCAATAATTTGCTTATGTTGAATTGTTTTTTTTTTCTGTTAAAAGTATAAAATTTAACTTCAAAATTATAGGTAACAATGAAAGATCGGGCTGCAGCAGAACGTGCTTGTAAAGATCCCAATCCAATTATTGATGGTCGTAAAGCAAATGTTAATTTGGCTTATTTGGGTGCTAAACCGCGCGGTAATATTCAACTTGCAGGTTAATCATTTCCAAAATAAAATACATTTTTGCTATTGCTTATATTAATAGTTTAAGAGAATGATATAAATTGTTAAAAGTATTTTGCTGGTAGATAGTTTGATAATGTGTGCAAATCGATATTTTCTGGGTCATTTGATATTTTGACACCGACGACGATACCAATAATTTAAAACAGTATTGGAGTGATTGGCTAACTTTACAACTTGTTCCAATGGAAGTAACATTACTATTTAGCAATACTAAATATTATTAGATTGATTCAGTTCTGGTAATGATTTTAACAATTTTTGAAATTTTGATTACTTACAAAGTTTTTGAAACTAAAATCATTGTATTTGAATTGTCTAATTTTAGATGATGTATGCTCTCTTGTATTTTGCTACCATTTGTCTAATTTTTTTTTACTAGTTGGATTTTACACGCATTTAAATTGTCTTTATAAGTTGAAATCCTTTAAATTACTGGTTAAATTTTACATGCAAAACGATATTTCATTTGGTACTTTAAGACATCAATTTCAATAATAAATTAATTCTATTTCGGAATTGAAATAAAATCTTTTTCAACTGGATGAAAATGAAATCTCAGAAATCGAATTGAATGTTTAAATGTTTTGTTTGTTGCATGTTTTGTTGTCCCTGTATTGTTGCTATCACTTTTTTTTTCCTCTTTGCTTAATCCAAAATGAAAATCTTTGGTGAAATTTTGTGTAATTTTTGTTTTCAGCGCTTTCTAACGGATTGCAGCAAATTCCGCTGCAAACACAACTGCAGGCTTTATTTCCCGGTCGTATTGCCGGGTAATTTTTCCCCCTTTTCTTTCTTACTCATTTACATGATATCATTTTGGAATTAAATTTTTACGAACTATTAATAGTATCAAAATATTAAAACATTTTTCATGACTTTTCTGTATGTGTGTGTATGTGTATGTGCATGTGTGTGCATGTGTGTGTATGTGTTTGTGTGTGCGTGTTTGTATGTGTGCATATGTGCGTGCGTAGGTGTGTGTGTGTGTGTGTATGTGTGTGTATGCGTGTGTGTATGTGTGAATTTATGTTGGTTTGTTTACTTCATCCTTTGCGGTGCAAAAAAAGGTTTGAAAATAAATAAAATTTTGATTGAGATGATTAACTGTGGTTGATCAATTACTTTCCTTTTTTTTTTTTAATTAAAGCAATAAAACTAAGCAGATAAAGTAAACAGATTGAAAGGCAAATATGTAATTTGTTGAGTTAATAAATAGCGAATAAAATGAAATTTTCAATGATAATGACTTACTTAACACGGATGCATATTTACCTATCAGTTTGCTCATTTTTATCTTTATTGCTTTAATTAAAAAATAAAAAATGAAATTACAATGTAAATTTTAAGTTTAACATGTTCTATTTAGCTTACTTATACTGTATTCATTTTGAATTTATCTATAATTTTAATGGTTAAAAATTTTTTAGCCTCCCGCAACTTCTTTATCCTACAGCAGCAGCGGCAGCTGCTGCTGCAGCTGCAGGTAATCCGTTGATGAATACGCTAAATGGTTTGCAAAATACGACATCATTAGCTGGTGCAGGTCAAGTGAATACTTCACAAACTCAGCAACAGTATATCGATTATGCAACGCTTGCAGCAGTTGCAGCTGCAGGTGGTGCTGCTAGCGCTGCTGCTCAAAATCCATTCTCGCTCCATCCAACAGGTAAGCAAATTTCAATTATTTAATTAAAATAGCATGTAGCGAATGAGATAAGATACTGAAGTATGGATGGCTTCGATGGTCATATTTAGTGCCATTAAGTGATAGGAAATAAAAATATTTAAGTTGGATTTTAAATTTTATCAAATTGTATTCATTTTTTTATTTCATACTATTACGAATGATTCGGAAATGATTAGGAAAAAAAGAATTTGAAAAATTAACATTTATGCATTGGAAAATTCATTAACATATGAATGAGTCCACTTGTTTATCTCTCATTATTCCATTATTCATATCTCATTTTTAGTGTCAGCAGCAGGTTCAGTAGGCCTAGAACAGTATGCATATATGCCATATGGCCTAATACCAGCCAACAGTTATGCAGCCCAACTAACAGCTGCTCAATCACAATTAGCTGCCGTAACACAACAGCAAGCTGCTTTGGAGCATCAACGTGTATAAATGGAAATTCGTCGATCTTTCAACAAAAAAAAAAAAAAAAAATTGAAGGCCCATAAAATTATGTAACAAATGAGCCCAATAGTATTAAAACTGATGATTCATAATTTCATTAATATTTTGACAATAAATTGATTGCAGCTGCCTAAAAGTGCTTAATAATCAAAATTCATTTCGTTTTATCTGAAATTTCTAACTTGGTTTAATTTAAGCTACTTATACGAATTATTGCTAATGTGCTATGCAAACGATACACACGGATTTTATTGTGTTGCTACATAGTTTTACATAACCTTGTCTCATACAAACAATACTATCATTGATTGATTGATTGGCAAAAATTAATGAAATTTCACTAAAACATGCACCGGGATAAATAGAATAATATTACGTATTTGTCTGACATTTTCATCTTCTTAATTTTAAACTCAACTTAAATTACATTACGTAAGTTCATATCGCATCAATTGGTCTACTCCTAAATGTCATTAAAAAATTGTTAATGCAGTTATATTATTATTTTATCAAACAATAATAGAATGATTTAATGCAATTAT